ATAATAATAATAATAACAATAATAATAATAATGATGATGACAATGATGATGGCAATGACAATAATAATAATAATAAAATAAAAATAATAATGATGAGGATGATAATAATAACAATAATAACAATAATAAAAATTGTAGTAGTAATAGCCAGATTTATCAAATTGTAAACAGAGACGTACCGGCTGAAATCACCTTCAATAACAAATCACCATTATCTTTACGAGTTTTAAAAAAAAGAAACCAACAGTTCGTTCACGCCAGTTCTCTCCCCCCTCCCAGGGCCCCAATGTTTTTTTCCATTTCATTTTAACCTCGGAATTGTGTTCATTCTGTTGTCATATAGAGACTCTATCGACACAGATGATAAACCATTCAAAGAAAATAATCTAACATACAATAATAATATATCATTCGAGGCTAAAAACAAATGTTCTGACTCATTAAACTTAAGAAACTGATTAAAAATTATGTCTCTTCAATGAAGATATTTTATTTTCTGTTATTTTTCTCTGGTATATATTATGTATAATGTATAGGGTTTTATGATATACCCCTTCTGTTCACTAGCTTATTATCATTATTATTATTATTATTATTATTATTATTATTAGTAGTAGTAGTAGTAGTAGTAGTAGTAGTAGTAGTAGTAGTAGTAGTAGTAGTAGTAGTAGTAGTAGTAGTAGTAGTAATAATAATAATAGTAGTAGTCGTAGCAGTAGTAGTAGTAGTAGTAGTAGTAGTAGTAGTAGTAGTAGTAGTAGTAGTAGTAGTAGTAGTAGTAGTAGTAGTACTGCCGTGCCAAAGCAGACCGACGTATCTGCAAAAATTATTAATTTTTGCGGCTTCGTTTAAATGGACGCCTATACCCATTCTGCACCTTGTGTCAAAGGCAGGAAGACGTATCTGCACTTCAAATAGGATATTTAACTATGGCAAACAGACGTAACTGAAGGGCCATGCCCATATTTCCAATGGCAGCGCGACGTAACTCAAAATCATAAATAGTGCAGATACACCGCTCTGCCTTGGCACGACAGAGCAGCAGTAGTAGTAGTAATAGTAATAGTGGTGACGTAAAGAGACGAAACGTTGGCGCGGTAAAAAGACACCCTGAAAACGACTTAACTCTAACCCCTTGACATGGGAAAAACCAAGCTCCTGCCAGACCCACGTCACACGGAGGGCTGCAATTACTGAGGGCAGACAATCACTGGAGGATTCACGAAATAAAAATGCTCAAGCTAAGAGAGAAACCCGCAAGCAGAGCACTTCCTAGAAAAAGGGATGCTACAAATATTGAAAACTCTTCCTTGTCAGTGTCAACACTGGTCTCATTAGCCATATCATAAGCCACTGCTCAGATCACACCTTATTTTTTTTCTATTTTGCCTAACGTATCTGTGGATGCACGGCTCATCGTTACATTTTGACTGACAAACTGCACATTGATTATTATTATTATTATTATTATTATTATTATTATTATTATTATTATTATTATTATTATTATTATACTATTATTATTATTATTATTATTATTATTATCATCATCATTGTTATTACTCTTATTCTTATTCTTATTTTGTTAAATAAAAATAAAACTATGTTACTATCATCATCATCATTGATGTTGTTATTTGCATCCATTTGCATTATGTATCACAATAAATCCCAAAACGTCCAATCTGGATAATAGAGGGTGGGGGCGGGGCTGGGTGTGGTGGGGGCGGTGGGGGTGGGGGGATGGGTGGGTTGGACAACGAACAACAAATAAATACCTGGGTTATAATGTACAAATATAATTGTATACATCGGGAGGTAACAGTAAAATGTCCAAGGCCAGTTGTCAGAAAAATTACACGTACAGGTAATACAGATCTTGCAAATTCAGTTAGTCAAATTACAGCATTCAAACATACGACTACACAGTATTATACAACATCACTTTGAAGTCTTGACAATTATAATCTTAGGAATAGGCCTATGTGTTCAATTCTAAATAGATTTTGGTGAATTCACGAAGTTTCTGGCGAACTGGTTCTCGATTTGGGAGCCAACACTGTAAGTTTATATCTGCCGGTCATGTTGTAACTGACAGCCTAAACAGTACTTTTTATACCACTGGTAAGTCATGCAGTCTTTTTAAAAAGTGCGAAATAAAGGAAAAAGCGATGCAATTTTAGAGTAAAAAGACGGCAGCTACACGCTTCAAGTACTGAAAGAAAATTAAAGAAGTAAGTCCAAGGAAAAAAGATGTCCTTTGGTATTCTGTAGTGAAAGTATCGTTTGAAATATATACAGATATTAATATTATGTTTATCATAGAGCACATATTAGGGCTGTTATTGACACAAGGGTAAGCACACACACACACACACACACACACACACACACACACACACACACACACACACACACACAAACGCCTAGCTCCTTTTTTGTTTTTAAAAAGGCTTGACATCGAAGGAACTTCTTTGATATTAGTTCATGGACTTTTGACTACCGAGGCGGACCAAACAAAAAGAGATGCAGCTAAAATTAACAACTGGTATCATATACTGATGTTGCTAACTCAATTCTAAATTTTGTAAACCTGAAGGCTCAGGAACCTAATAATATTTAAACATTCTCATAACCCCAGCCCTAACCCTGATCCTGAGCTCATCGCTATAACCTAAAAAGAAAGCACTCTTGGGGTCTGTCAGAACACCATTTTGGATGCTAGGGTTATCTTGATAGAAAATTAAGGTACAGATATAAGCTTCTAAAATGCATGATCTCTGGCTTCTCCGCGCTGTTGGCCATGCAGCATCGCGATAGCTCTGCCAGGGGGGGTTCCCCTTCTAAACAAATCATGACACTTTGCTCTCCTTGCACGCTCAAACGACACGCTCAAAGTAGAGGGTATAAAAGACCAGATTGTGTGTAGCCTTTCCCTATTGTACAAGGCTATAAATGTACAGATATTAAAAGGGGAAGCAAAGAGAGAGCATAAGACAAACAGTTTTCACTTTGTAGGAATTGTAAATTATAGTTTATGTTTTATGCCGTCATTGAGACGAATAAAATAAATTAGGTATCGGGCGGTTTCAACTTGTCTGTCTGGGCTAATCCAGGATAAGTGGGATTTAATATCCCAGAAGACGGATATACTCAATAAATTACCTTTCCATCTCAAGAATCAAACTCGCCTCTTCTATGCGGCATAAAGACTACCCGTTATACCACTGAAACCAGTAGATAATGAGTAAAGTGGAACATAGATATTAGGATCCTGTTGCGATAAACATGTTAAGGTTTAGGAATCTTAGTCATTTATATAACATTTACTCAAAAGACTTTCCGAGAACATTCATTACATTAAGTACTTATTTTTCAACATTATGATAATTTTGATCAACCTGATTCACCATCAGCAAGTACACTTGTACAAACCATACAGACTTACTAAATTATCTATCTTCTGGGACTCATCCAATTTTTTTTGTTCATCTATCTTTTCATCCGTCACAATGATAGTCAATAAAATAATTCATCGGTCAAGCGATCGAACGTTCGTTGACTTGCACCCCCCCCCTTTTTTTCCACTAGATCTCCAAACGTGATTTCTCACAATCATGCAATATGTGCGTGTTTATACGCCCCCCCCCCCCCCCCGTCGATACTCTGTAGATTATTTAGGAGACAGGCTTCTACCCCGCCTGTCAGGACCAATTCGGGCTGGGAGGGATACGTCTCAGCAGAAAGACTCGACATACTCGATGAAAATTCTCCCCATATGAGAATTGAACTTTGATCTTCTAAGTCTGACGACGAAACACTTAACCACTACATCACAGACGCCAGTGTGATCTATTGGGTATTTCTCGTGAAACAAGCAAACAGAAACGTGACTATCTCTCTCACAGTCAATGTACAGACTTGAAAGAACACGTTTTCATATTATCTATGCATTGAAAATCACCGATTTCATCTTGATATCTGTTGCTCCATTTTTTGGGGTTTATTCTTAATCTTACTTTTATATGGTTAAAAACACAACTGATATAACAGCAAGGCCGTCAATGACAGCTTCAACAACAGCAATAAAACAGCAACAACGACATTCATCAACCACAAATAGCAAGCGGCTGGCTCTATCAAAGGAAACAGAAAGAGGTTCGCCGAGGAAAATTCTAGATATGGCCAGAGCAAGCTCAGATATACAAAACAGGAAGCGGCCAAGACAACTGTATAGGGTGCGCCCACAAACAAAAATCAACCACAATTCCGAAACAATTTCCAAGCAAACTCACTTCACCCCTCTTTAAAAAACCCCAAACCAATCAAACAAATGAGCACGAAAACAAGAAGGAAAAAGAAGAAAATCTGAATAAAGCCCCAACTGAACAAAACTAAACAAAGAACTACAATAAACGTCACTATGAACTGGAAAACCAAACATACATGAAGCAAAGTAAATTGTTTAAAACGTTAGCAAACAAACAAAAGAGCAACACAAGAAGCAGTGTAGCTTCCAACACACCTGACGTCATTTTCGCTATATGAGTAATATAATAACATACATGAACAAAATCCGGCATGTGACAAAAATAATTTTGCAAATCTATATGTAAACTGTATCGGGTCATTGAAGAGGAAAAAGTGCCACGGGGCAGGAACAATGATTACTTATGGCTATCTACTTCTGGATTTCCCTCTGTATTGATAAAACAATATTTAAATATTCAATAACATAGGCAAGTATCATGATTAGGAATAAAACAGCACAATAACATCATAGGTCCTAGTTTATCGTCCGTTTTCATGGTAACGATGCAAATTGTCGCTATCACGGATTCACAGAATTCTATCTTACACTTTTGGCCGTTTTGAGTTACTAAGACCATGAGGTCAGAAACCAAATGCTCTATCTGCTCTATCGAAATCGAAAGATTATTCGGAGTCTTTATCAAGATATTCAAAGAATTGTATTCGCAAACGCTTGACATGATGTGAAATTCAAACATCTTTGACCCCAAATTTATCAAAACTAGGTACTGATTAGAGAGAGCTGTGTAATTCTGAGGTAGCCATCTGCCAGTAGTAGATAACCAAAAGCTGAAGACGGGTGTGCCGAGAAAGGTCAGTCGGTGGCTTTGCGGAGACATTTTTCAGAGGCTGACTTCCGGAGCGCCGGGTACTTCCTCTGTCCCAGCGTCCAGTGGAAATAGAGACTGGTTAATGCGAAGATCCCACGACACGTCAGCAGAAGTAACAAGTTCCTGTTGAAAGGCTGCCCCGACATCAGTAGATGAGTGGTGGTAACTGTGGACAAATAGGAGGCATCGTGAGGATTTCATTATCTGGCTAGTCAACCAAGGGATCCCCCGGTATATTTCTTAAATAACCCATCAGTCGTGAGCTTTTTTCCATTCACTGAACAGTCAACCAAACCATAAATTCATCTCTCAATATTTTATTTCTGTTTAAATAACCCGTCTTTGGAATTGCCTTAAAAAAGTTAATGAAACTTCATTCAATAAATTACAGTTTATATAATGTCCTGTGGGTCAATGGCTTTAAGCACTGAATAAACTTACTTAAATAACTCGTCAGTCTATCACCCATTAATAAACCTTTGCCATCAGTCTACGTATCTAGTCCTTTGTGCAGTAGTTCGACACACCCATTTAATTATTTTTCCAGTTTTTTAAAATCCTTTCAAACTCTATCAATCAATCACCAGGTTATTCATTCAAACAATTGTTGAATAGTGAAAAAGAGCAGCCC